GCGGGGAAGAGGATGGTTGGGAGAAGAGGGGGACGTGGGGATGACGGATCCGGGGACACACAGAGACCAAGCGGGGCCGGGGGGGCCCTTTGCGGACGCGTCTACCTTGTTCCACCAGCCCCAGGGGGGCCCCGGCGGCGGCCGCCGACATGGTCGGAGGAGCGGTGGTCTGTCTGCCCACTGCGGGCCACGAGAGAGAGAGAGAGGGAGCAGAGCTCCTGTTAGGGGGCTGGTGGGGCTGCAGCTGGGACCCCCAACTTCCACCCCCCCAACGAGAACTCTTAGGGTGCCCATCACCCTGGGTTCAGGCCTGGGGTGGCTGGGGATGCTCCGTCCCCCTCCCCGTGCCGCCCCCCCACCAGCCACCGGAGTGGGGGGGGACACACGGGGACCGGGCACTACCTGCTGCTGTGTGTGTGGGGCAGGGGGGGCCGGGTCCTGCCCCCACCTTGGCTACCACATGCCCCGTCCTCGCCGATGGGGAAAAAATGGGGGGGTTAAGGGGGGGGGGAGGGGAGAAAGAGAGAAAGACAGCGACAGAGAGAGGGGGGCACCAGCCCAGGGGGGAGCTGTGGGCAGGGGTGCTGTGGCCCCTGGCCCCCCCCGGCCAGCAGGCGCCCCCCCCTTACCTGAGAAGTTCCTGGTGGCCAACATAGTGGTGAGGATGGCGCCCTGTGGGGAAGGGCACAGTGAGGGGAGGGGGCATGGGGGTGAAAAAGGACAGGAGGGGTCCTGGGAGCAGGGGATGGGACAGGCGGAGTGGAATGGGGAGGGAAGTGGGGTGATGGGATATGGGGTCCAGGATGAAGGAGGAAGGGATGAGCGGTACAGGGTGGGGCCCACGGGACTGAGAGGTGCGAGAGGGGGCTGCAGGATGAGGGGGCAGGATGGAGCCATGGGATTGGGCAGTGGGATGGAGGGTGCAGGATAGGGGGGCAGCACGAGGGGGGGTAGGCTAGAACCATGGCATGGGGACACGTACTGTGCAGGGGCAGGATGGGACCGTGCCACACTGGGTGTCACTGGGATGGGACCACAGCCCATGTCAGAGCAGAGGGCATGGCCAGGGTGGGAACCACTGGAATGGGACCGTACCTCATGGGAACACACCAGATGGCCCTGGTGTGTGCCAGGATGGAAGTGTGCACTGGGCATGGCCAGGACATAGGGCCAGTCCCACAGCAGGCTGAGCAGGGTCCCACAGCGGACAAGGCAGGGTCCCACAGTGGACAGGGCAGGGTCCCGCAGGAGAGCCCCATGGAGACACAGGGTGGTGCCAGAGGGACAAGCACCATCTCCAGCCCATGCTTTACCCCCTCACCTTGAGCTTCCTCCGGGCGTTGAACTTTTTCAGGCACTCCACTGTTTCCTGCCTGTGCATCATGGAGGCCACGGTGGAGCGTTGCTATGGGGGACAGCAGGGTCAGCGCCAGGTGCTACTGGCCACTGGGCCAGAGGGACACGCACCAGTGGGGGACACATGGCACTTACGCAGACCCACGGGTGCTTGAGGGCCTCGTGAGCTGTGATACGCTTGGCGGGGTTGATGGTCAGCATCTGGTTGATGAGGTTTTTTGCTTCAGGGGTGACCGTGTCCCACTCGGGCGAAGGGAACTGGGGGGAAACAGGGACACAGAAGGCTGACAGCTCTGGAGGGGCAGCCCCATGGCAGCCGTGTCCCTCCGTGTCCACACGTCCCCAACCAGCCACTGAAGGTGTGGCCCAAAGCCATCCCCCCCAGCTTCTGCCCACTGGGATTAGCTGTAGCATCCCTGAGTAGGTTCTGGAGTTAACGGATTGGCCATCACAGCACGGGGGGTCCTGGTACTGGGAACTTACGTCATAGGCCCCAGCCTTGATCTGTTGGTAGAGTTTGTGCTGATCCTCATCCCAGAACGGCGGGTAGCCCACCAGGAGGATGTACAGGATGACCCCTGGGCCAGGGAGAGCAGGGTCAGGGGGGTGCAGGGACCCCCAGCCACCCCCTGGCTCCCTCCATCCCTGTGGTGTCCCCACGACACAGCAGTGATCCCAGCGTGGCCTGTCCCCGTGCTGCCAGGATGGCACCCGCCAGGAGAGTGTGGCACGGCCAGGGCACGTGGCACAGGATGGCCATGGGATGGGGACAGGGATGGGACCAGGATGGGACTGGGACAGAGATGAGACAGGAACTGGGATGGGACCAGGGTGAGACTGGGATGGGAATGGGATGAGACTAGGATGGAGCCAGGAAGGGGCCAGAATGGGAGTGGGGCGGAATCACAATGAGATCAGTCAGAGATTAGCCAGGGATGGGGCAGGGATTAGGATGGGATTGGGCAGGCATTGGGCAGGGACTGGGAAGGGATTGGGACAGGGATGGGCTCTTACCGCATGCCCAGATGTCCACAGGTTTGCCATAGGCCTCCTTGCGCAGGACCTCAGGGGACAGGTAACCGGGCGTGCCCGCGAATCCTGGGATGGGGACAGAGATGAGTGAGCCACGGCAGGCGGGGACAGGGAGGGGGCACAGGGTAGGACAAGGGGGCACAGGACTGGGACATGGGCACGGGGCAGGGATGTGCTGGGCATGGGAGGATGTGGTGGGCACAGGGCAGGATGCTGTGGACACAAGACACGGACGTGGCAGGTATGGGACGGGGCTGTGGTGATGTCCTGGTTTCAGCTATGGTAGAGTTAATTTCTTCTCAGTAGCTGTTACAGTGCTGTGTTTTGTGGGCAGGAGAGAATGCAGTGGGAACAGGGCAGGGACTCAGTGGATATGGGACAGGGACAGGGCAGGCGTGGGCAGAGACATGGTGGCCACAGAAGGGACACAGCGGGCACACAGCAGGGACACGGTGAGCAGGACACGTTGGGCATGGGCCAGGGCTGTGGGGGGGACAGGAGGCAGCGGCACTCACCAAACCAGGCCTGCTGATCCCCCTGCACCTCAATGGCAAGGCCAAAGTCCGCCAGCTTCACCGCCGCCCCTTTGCACTTGCTGGCCAGGAGCAGGTTCTCCGGCTGTGTGAGCACCAGGCACAGAGAGCACCAGGCATGGGCAGCACAGGGCACAGGTACGGGGGGCGGGGAGGGAGAGGAGGGATGGGGGAAGCAGAAGGAAGGGCTTTCCAGCTGCCATTGAACATGTCCTGCCTGTTGGCCGGCTGTGTGCCATGTGCCTGCAGCCATGGGCACCCTCTACCACAGGCCCAGGGTGCCGGGGAGCACAGCCCCATGGCCAGCTCAGGGTCACCCCATGTCCTACTCGCCTCATCTCATTATCCCCCTGTATCCCACCCACCATCCCCCCATATCCCTCCATCCCCCCATATCCCACCATCCTCTGCTATCCCTCCCCCAGTATCTCACCCACCATTCCACCCACCATCCTGTGATCTGTCTTGACCTCACCCCCACTCCGAGCCAGCTCACACCCCCCAACAAGGACATATCAAGCAGGGGGCTCACAGTGAGCCCCCCCAGCAGCACAGGACTGTGCCATGACTGAGGGGGTCACGTGCACCCCCAGAAAAGGAAGATGGCTGCTGGGAGTGCTCAGAGCAGAGGGGATCCCCCAACCCCAGCGGGATCTCAGTGACCCCCAGGACCCACTGAGCCAGGGCCCACCCCCTGCTGTAGGGACCCTGAGAGCTGGGCTGGGGGAGAGGGGCAGAGGGACAGATGGGGATCTGGGGGGACACACTCACCTTGAGGTCCCTGTGGACCACCCCCATCTGGTGACAGTGCAGGACGGCCTCCAGGATCTGCTGGATGCAGTGGCTGCATGCAAACGGGGGAGGGGTCAGGAGTATGCTGCTCCCTCATCTCCCACACCCTCTGTCTGGGACCTGCAGCCCCAAACTGGCCCCCTGCTCCACTGCTGGGGCCCCCCTGCACTCCAGGGGGAGCTGACAGAAACAAGTGGTAACCTCAGATTGGGGGGTGCGGAATGCACCCTCTGTACCCCTGCCAGGGGCTCACTCCTGGGGGGAGGGCCAGTCCTTGGGGATCACTGCCTGGAGGAGTCACCAGGAGGTTTCACTTCAGGGGGTCGTTGAGCAGGGATCACACCTGGGGTGGGTCACTGCTTGGGGGTCACCCCTGGAGGGGGTTACTGCTTGGAGGGTCAGTCCAGAGTTGTCACCCCTGAAGGATCACTCCTGGGGGCATCACTATCTGGGGGGGTCACTGCCTGGGGGTCATCAGTGGCTGGGGGTTCATTCCTGAGGGGAAGTCACTGCCCAGGGGTCACCTCTCAGTGCCCACCAGGTGAGCTCCTATCTTGGCATGGAGCCACTGGGGATCACCCCAGTGGTGCTTTTGTGTCCCACCCCTGCCCCCCACAGGGGCCTCCCCATCCCTGCTGCCACCCAGACGCCGGGGTCCCCCAGACAGGACTCACGGGGTGGGGGGACAGGGGGTACGGGGCAGGGGGGGCAGATGGAGACGAGACAAGAAAGAAAGAGGGAAGGAGCGGGGAATGAGAGCCTGAAATGGGGGTGAAGGGGAGGGTTCCCACCCAGCTGGGGGAGGAGGGGCATTGGGGGGGCAATCTCCCTGTAAAGGGGGGGCAAAAAGAGGGAGGTTGGGGAGAAAAAAGAGTGAGGAGAGAGCCCCACAGCTGGGTCCTTGCGAGCGGAGCAGGGGGCTGGGAAGCGGGGGCTGCGGCGGGCAGGGGCAGCGCAGGGGGCACGGCTCCCCCGGCCCCCCCCCCAGATACTGACCTGCGGCTCCCTCTGCTCAGGGGCAAAGTGATGGGTGGGAGGAACGCGGGCAAAGAGCTCATGGACACAGTGACTGCAAAACAGAACGGGGGGCGGGGGCAGGGGCGGGGGGGACGGCTCCCCCGGCCCCCCCCCCAGATACTGACCTGCGGCTCCCTCTGCTCAGGGGCAAAGCGATGGGTGGGAGGAACGCGGGCAAAGAGCTCATGGACACAGTGACTGCAAAACAGAACGGGGGGCGGGGGCAGCGCAGGGGGCACGGCTCCCCCGGCCCCCCCCCCAGATACTGACCTGCGGCTCCCTCTGCTCAGGGGCAAAGCGATGGGTGGGAGGAACGCGGGCAAAGAGCTCATGGACACAGTGACTGCAAAACAGAACGGGGGGCGGGGGCAGCGCAGGGGGCACGGCTCCCCCGGCCCC